CCCCTTCCCTTATATAAAGGGACTATACAACAGTTCTTTCTCCCACAAAGGCAGGGTGACCCAAAAAAGAAGAAACATAAAATAGTCTTTTCGTGTTATATTTAGTAATTTATAAATGAAGAATGAATATACTTAGCTCCTTCTCCCGGCATTTAGTTGCCTCTTACAACACACAGCTTACAACGGAAGAAAAGTTTTCTCCACTTACCCAAGGGGTGGTTGGTTATTATTATGATTTATTTAATTCTATTAGTGCATTGATCACTACAAACCAAGGTCAAGGTGACCTGAATAAGGAAACAGCTCCAACAATCGCTAGATCACTAGCTGTCTTATATCAAGAAAATACAACAACAGCAAAGTCCATCTACACTGTCAAGGTGGTGTTTTGGGATATGTCAGTTTTGGAGGTTACTTTAAACTGTCGTATCTGAGCGCCTCGCACAGACAGTGATTATTATGAGTGAGGTTAAAGTGTTGAATGGATGAAAGTAAATATCTTGTTTGGGGATTTCCTTTTCTTTTTTTGGGTCACCCTGCCTCGGTGCCTCGGGGCCTCGGGGGGAGAGGACCAACGTGTTGAAAAAAAAAAACAGTACTGTCAGGTTGATAAATTAGATGTGCATTACTCAGGTATCATTATTTTGTAAATGCAGATACCTCAAGTGTTGCACATGTCTAAGTCATCAATAGTTGTTTTGTCATAGGTGTGCAGCATTTCAAATGACTCTGAACTCAACATCACCTATCCTTCACAATGTAGGCATTGTACTTCCCATCTCCAGAACAGAAGTTTGACCAGTTTCCCTGAATCCCTTCATAAATATTACCTTGCTCATACTCCAGCACATAATACAGTGGACCCTCAGTTTTTGCGTTTAATCTGTTCCAGAGCGATCGGCAAAAACGGAAATCGGTGAAAACTAAAACCATTTTCCCCATCAGAAATAATGTAAATCCAGTTAATCCATTCCAGACATCCAGAAGTATTAACAAAAAAAATTTTTTTTTTTACCTTAAAGAATGAACATTCAACATAACACTTACCTTTATTGATGACTGTTGTTGATGGTTGGAAGACAGGGAGGAGGGAAGAGGTTATTCTTTGGAAGGGGAATCCCTCTCCATAAGGACACTAGGTACCAAGTCCCTATCTGGGGTCACTTCCCTTCTTTATTTATTTAATACCACTAGGACCACCTTGAGGGGCAAAGGCTTTTTTTTTTTTTTTTTTTCCAATTTCAAATGAGACCTAATCCTGTGATTTAAAAAGCAGTTTGCATCCTACACAGTTGTTTGTATTGACTTGTTGCAAAGTTGCAAGATATTGCAGAATTGTATTTATCATAAAACCCTCACTGGCCTACAAAATTGGTAAGATGTACAATGTTCTAGTCAACATCAGATGAAAGGTAGTTAGATTATCTAAATTTCAAAGTTTTTTGCGAGAAATGTCAATAGATTGCATTATTAACCCTTTGACTGTTTACGACGTATAAATACGTCTTACGAGCCAGTGTTTCTGACGTATTTATACGCACAAATTCTAGCGGCTTCAAATCAAGCGGGAAAGGCCTGGTAGGCCTACATGAGAGAGAATGGGTCTCAGTGGTCGGTGTGCACCCTGTGAAAAAAATCTGGGACCCAGCGGTGCATTGTGGGAGCGCCATCTTGTTAGTCCATTTTCACCATGCCTCTCGGTAAAAAGTTCCTCACTCCTCGGCGGATTGGAGGTCTTTTGTTCCCAAGTGATAGCTCTAACAGCGATGAAAATGTCAGTGACAGTGAATTCCAGGGTTTTGAAGCGAGTGTTACCGGAAAAAGTGCCCAGGATAACGTAATTAGTGATGAAAACCCAGATGACCCACAACCTTCCACCTCTGGTGCTGGGCTGGCTTGTTCAAGTTCTCGTTCGCCTGTACCAGGACGAAAGAGGAAACTATTTGGTCATGTACAACACCCAGATGTTAGCAGTGAATGTGAGAGTGATAGTGATAGTGATTTCAAGGTCATTGAAAGCAGTTCTAGTGACAGTGAGGGTGAATATTTCCCAGTGAAGCGGCAGTATGTACGACGTAGCATGCGGTCTGGTAGTGTTTCATATGTTGTTCCAAGGGGAAGGAGAAACTATGGGAGCACATCCCGTGGCCCTACACCACGACCTGATAGTGAAGATGACGATATTGTAACGATGGGTATGAATGATGTGAGTGAGGGAGCAGGCAGTGGTGGTAATAGTGAGGGTGGCACGGCCCATGTGGCACCATCAGTGGGCCACGCTACTACCCACGCTGCTGACTCTGCACAGCAACCAGCCTCACCCGACCCCACACTCCCACAACCTGCACAACCACAACCACGGTACAATATCCAGACCCCACCAGCAGACCGCATTTGGGATTGGCAGGACGGTGACGAGTTTGTTCCCAGTCCCCATGACTTTGATGAAACACAAAGTGGAATAAAGCCATCATGTCCACTTGGGAACAATGCCAGTGAACTGGACTGCTTTGATTTATTCTTCGATGAACCCCTGATGGACATCATTGTCAGGGAAACAAACACATACTGTGATTACACCATGGCAAATACAATTCTCTCACCAAAATCACGGCTACACAAGTGGAAGGAGACAACTGTGGCAGAGATGTACCTGTTTTTTGCCACAATAATGCTTATGCCACATGTGTATAAGCACACTGTCACCACATACTGGGCAACAGAACGCCTGATTTCAACTCCAGGTTTTAGTGACATTTTAGGTGTCAATCGTTTCCTGAAACTGTTACGTATGTTACACTTTTCAGACAAAACCAGGCCTGACAGAAGCGACAGGTTATATAAGATAAGAAATGTGTTTATGTACCTGAAACAAAAGTGCTGCATGTATTTTTATCCCTTCAGGAAGCTTGTTATTGAGGAGTCCTTGATTTTATTCAAAGGAAGACTCTCATTCAAGCAATATATACCAAGCAAGAGGAAATGCTTTGGTATAAAACTATTTGTACTGTGTGATTGCAGAAGTGGTCTAGTTTTGGATATCATTGTGTACACTGGCAGTAATACTTTGAGAGATACAATGAAGTTATTGGGTATCTCTGGTGATGTGGTTGGAACAATGATGGAACCATATCATGGCAAAGGGCATATGTTATTTACTGATAACTGGTACACAAGCCCCTTACTCAGTGATTTCTTGCGTAATCGTAAACATATGCCAAGGTTTGACACTGGCACTCGCAAAGGTGAGGTGCAAGCCTTTGCTGCCAATGACATCATGGCATTTCGGTGGCATGACAAACGTGATGTCACATTGTTGACATCAGTTCACCGAAACGAAATGGTACACAGTGGCAGGCACAACAGAGAGACCAATGAACCCATTCTAAAGCCTGCAGCTGTCATGGACTACAACCTCAATATGCGCTTAGTGGACAAATGTGACATGCAGATTGGGTTTGCAGACTGTACACAAGAGTTATAAGTGGTATATAAAACTTTTTTCCATCTTGTTGATATCTCTATGCTAAATGCTTATAACATATACAAGTTGAAGACCAACAAAACACCAAAATATGGTGAATTTTGCTTGTCAGTAATCAGACAAATAATTGCAAAGTACCAAGGAGCAACACCTGCAATAGACCAGCGCCCACGAAATTACCAACACACGCCATCTCGTTTCAGGCCTGGTGATCACTACCCCATGCAACTGCCTCCTACTACTGCCAAGAAAAATGCTCAGAAGAGGTGTTATTTATGTACACATACCACAAAACGCCCACAAACACGCAGAGACACTCGTTTTATGTGTGAGGAGTGTCAAGTGCCCCTCTGCATATACCCATGTTTCAAAGAGTTCCACAAGCTGCAGCAGTTCTAGGAACGTGTTTAGTGACTGTACATATGTATATATATATTATGGAACAATAGTAATAAACATTGTTTTGTATTGTTTGTGTAAACAAAGTGTATACACAAACTAATAGTGATAAAGTTTGTTCTGTTATTGTGTTGTAAACAATGAGTGTATATTTGAACAATGCACCTTACATTGGTTCACAGGCCACATAAGTTACCTGGAACAGAAAAATATTGAAAAATGCAAAGAAACCTTTGAATTATGAGTAAAAGAATACCGGGTGGGCGGCAGTCGCCGCGTTGCCGTACGCACGTCACTTTCTGCAAACTTTGGGAGCTCCATATCTCGGAAGTACTGATGGGAAAAAAATTTTTTTTAGGCTTAAAACACTAGAAAAAAATTTTAACATTTTCATAAGAAAAAAATTTTTTTTTTTTTTTCAATTTTGGGAATAG